GCCCCACTCGGCCCAGGCCAGCGCCAGCAGCTTCCCCAAGGCCACCGGTGCCCTGGTGTCCCCCCCGTCGCCGGGCGCTGGCGCCGCCCAAGCCAACAGTGCCGCGGCCACCGCCACGTGTGTCACGGCCACCCAGGCAGGCGTGGCAGTGGCCAACAGCACCGGGGCAGCACTGCCCGGCACCAGGAGGCTCCGCAGGGTGAGGAAGGTGGCGGGGCTGAGGCCCAGGATGATGGCAGCTCCTGGGGGACCCTCTGGCACCAGCAGCCTCTGGGTCATGGCAAACGCTGGCAGACGCAGGGTGGCCTCCAGCCAGGTGGCCACCAGGCCCAGCTGGGCCAGTGCCGGGGCCAAGTGGGCCAGTGCTGCCAGCAGCACCAGGTCAACCAGGAGCAGGAGGGAGGCCAGACGGATGGCAGGGAGCAGTGCCATGGCAGAGGATCACCAGTAAGGACCAGTGCTCACCAGAAAGGACCAGCTGGTCCCAGCAAACAGTGCTCAGCACCCTAGGGAATTCACCAGGAAACATCAGTGCTTCCAGTCCCAGCCCCCCAGTCCCAGCCCAGACCGACAGGAGTACCCTGGGGTGCTCACCAGTTGACACCACTGCTCCCAGACTCCAGCCAGCACCCTAGGGATCACCCAGTAAAGACCAGTGCTCCCAATCCATCCCCCAGTCCTAGCTTGGATCCTCAAGACTCTGCCCAGCACCCTTGGGTGCTCAGCAGCCAATACCAGTGTTCCCAGTTCAGCCCCCTAAACCATCCCTGGACACTGCCCAGCACCCTGGAGTGCTCACCAGTCAACACCAGTGCCCCCAGTTCAGCTCCCCTGGACGGCACTCAGCACCCTAGGAAATTCACCAGTAAACACCAGTGCTCCCAGTCCAGCCCCCAGTCCCAGCCTAGACCCTCAAAACCCTACCCAGGACACTGGGGGTATTCACCAGTAAAGAGCAGCGCTCCCACTGCAGTTCCTTCAGCTCCCATGCCCAGCGCCCTGCAGCACACACCAGCGCGCCCAGCAGCCCCAGTCCCACCCGGTACTTCCCAGCACGGCCCCGCTGCGCTGCCCTTGGTTTCACTTTCCAGGCGCCGCCCCC